TCCTGCAGGCGCACCTGCTCACTGGACTGAAGAGCAGAAGAAATCTGGGGGCCAGATGCGCAGCTGGTGTAAATCAACATCACTTTATGGTCTTCGCTGCTGAGCCACTGGCCAGTGCCACTGGCTCTCTACCTGGCACTGGTATTTCAGGCTCCCCTTTGATCCCTTGGCTCTCCCTCTTGCATTAAGTTGTTCCCCTGGTGGCTCTGTGGCCAGTCCCCTCCCATTCGTACACAGGTGCTCTATCCCACAATGACCATGGCGTGCTCACCACCAGGAGCTCGGGGAGTGGAGCAGCTCACGTGGAGGCCAGGTGCATGTACGGCAAGGAGCTGGTGGCTACTGCATGGTCCAGCCAGCTTTAGGGTAGGGGCCTGTGTTGGAGGTTAGTGTTCCAGTCTTCGGTCCCTACCAGAGGTCTAGCTTTAAATGTGGTTTCTGGCACACTCCAGACCTGAGGCTTGGACATCTTGAGTTTTCTCTGAGATGAGTGTGCCCAGCACCTGCCAGCTTTCCCATGCGTGTCCTGGAGCATGTGCCTCTGGCAGAGTGAGGGATGGACAGCATGGCTGAGCCTCACCTATGCACATCCCACTTGCCTGCAGCGCTCTCTTGGAAGCAATGCCCAGAAGGCCTCAGTAGGCAGACTTGCGCTGCCTGCAAATGTTTGCAGATGACAGGATCTCCTTGGGCCATGCTGCAGCTGATCAGGAGGCGAGGCCTTTCACATGCTCCTTGGTGTGGGCCCGAACTTGGGACTTGTCCCTGCTTCGCTGCAGGCTGATCTCTGCTGGGAGCACAACCCTATCTTGCCATGCGAGCTGCGGCTTCCATTCCCCAGCTCTTGAAGAGCAGGCTTTAAAAACTCCCAAGGAAGGGAAATGGATGTTAATTAGCACAGCGGGAAGGTGAGGAGCTCTCCTGCGGGATAGGTGTCGCTCTGTGATTTCCCCAGGGGCAGCTGTACACTGTGTAAGTTACCATGTAATAACTGCGCTGGGGATTCACCTGCCATTCCCCAGCCCGGTCCCCTTTGTTCTCTGTGATGGAGGGGAATCTGTCATCTCAAAGTTTAGCTCTCGCCAGATTAGGGTGCTGCAAATCCCCTGATTAGCATGATTCTAATTTGCTTAAAGGAGGCTTGTTTGTAATAACCCAATTAAGCAACTGATCCGGGGCAACATAAACTCTCGCTGACCTCCCAGGCAGTGTCGTGGGCAGGATTCCTGTGCCTGCGACACTGAATGTTCAAAGGTGCTGCTGTGCTCTGATACTGCTTTTGTAGACTGCTTCCTAGACTGAGTCCACAGTAACTGCCAGTGCTACCTAGAGCTCAGACTTGTCTCCAACGGCTTTGAAGCACAGAGAAAGGACTGGCCCTGAACTTTGCTTGGCAGATGAGTTCTGTAGATACTTGATGCCAGACTGCTGGAGCTGGTGGTCACAGTAGAAGTACGTAAGGTCAGAGCGTAGATGTGCAGGCTTGATCCTGCTGGGGGCTCTGATTTATGCACCACACCCATCCGGAACCTTTGCTTTAAAACCCCACGGTGCCAGTCTCCTGAGCTGAGACAGCATGCCTGCCTCTCCCTCGTCGTCACCTCTGGGACTACCAGGGCTTCCCATGAGTTCGACAGGGCTACAGCTCCAGGTGTAATCTGCTGTCCTATCTGTGAGATCTCCTGGATTAATGCCATTTTCATCAGTCATTGTACAAGTCTCAGCTGAGGGTGAAAGCATTGAGCTAGGTTTCTGTCACGGACTGCTCCCTCTACTGGAAAGATCAGGACTCTACCAGCCAACACTTGATCGGGATCCCCAAAATGTCGCTAGTGGTGCACTGAATCGCCGTTCCCTGTAATTCAGAGGGTTTGTCTGCACTGCAGTTGGGTGGTGAGATTGCAGCACGTGTAGACATGCCCACGCTAGCTTTGATCTAGCCAGCACAAGTAACAACAGTGAGGCTACAGCTGTATGGGCTCGCCTCGCTTACCCAAACCCCTCTACATCCTCGAGTGGCCCCTGCCTTTCACTACTATTGTTACTCGAGCTAGCTTTGCTGTAGCTCAGAGGTTCTCAGGCTGTGCTCTATTCTCCATTCAGGAGGTCCGTGGATAGTTCCCTCTAAGGTGTGCACCTGCGTGGCCACACGAGAGAATGAAGGGCCACCCACCTATTTAGTGGAGCCGTGCAGGTGTGGCTCCACTAATTAGGTGCCTGGACCCTGGAGAAAGAGGCACATGTAGGGTGAGGTGGTAGGTGGGAGGGGGCAGTGGGGTGAGAAGAGGGGGTGGGGGGAATTTGGGATGTGCAGGGCTGTGGTGGCCAGAGAAAGAGGTGACTTTCCCCAGCTCCAGGGCTGCAGCTGCTGGGGAGAGACAGCCCTCCTTCCCAGCCCCAGCTCGGGGGCTGCTGTGGTGGGGGAGGGAGGGCACATCCATCACATTAGAAAGGTAAGACTACTGACAGTAAAATGAGTTGTGTGCTTTTATTTGTAGAACAAAAAAAGTTTAAGGTTTTTTTATATAGTGCTTTTATCCAAAGCACTTTACAATAGTTAGCCAACGGTACAAACAACATTTGGAAAGATCATTAAGTGGTCCGCCGAGATCCTCAACAATTTTCAACTGGTCCGTGGAAAAAAAAAAGTTTGAGAACCACTGCTCTAGCTAGATCAGAGCTAGCATGGGTCTGTCTACATATGCTGCAGCCACACCTCCCATTGTGGTGTAGGTATCCCCAGAGGTGCAGCCTGGGTGGGCTGTAGGCCCCAGCATGGAACACTCTGCCTTGATCTGAGCAGCCTAGACACAGGGAGTGCCGGGACATGTGGATTCAGCACCCCACATCTTTATTGTTGGGGGGGTGGAGATTATGCTTAGTTAAGGACTTAGTCCTGGGGGGAGCTTTGAATTGCGCCAGGAGCGGTAAAGGATCGTCATGCTCTTGGTGTTTTGGGGGAAGCCACTCTTTGCCTCTCGTCAGTCCTTCTCCCGGGTCCTCCAACAGGCCCCTGCCCAAATGTGCTGCATGCAGTGAAGGCCCTGAGAACTCCATCCCAGGGCCCATCAGTGAGGGCTGCGTGCTAGAGGCAGAAGGGGTAGGGAGCATTTGCTGATCATCCCCAGCTGACAATGGAGGCAGAGTTGCCCCATCAGGGTATTTCTGCCTGGACTGCAGCACTGCCGCCCCATCTCCTCCCCTACCCCGGCACCTCCCTCTTCCTCACAGGATGGAGGGGTTTGTGTTTTTGACTATAAATGGCGCATAGCCATCAATTGTTTCCGCTCTCTGTGTGGTTTGTTGCCATAGTGACGAATACTTTCCTTTCTCCGTTTTTTCCTGAGCGCAGCACCGTATCAATGCAGCTCCGTAGCTGTGATTAGCTCAGAATGGGGTGGGGGAAAACAGCACTGCCCTGAGCACGAGACAGGATCTGCTCCCCTAGAAAAGCTCCAGTTATACCCAAGTACCGCACTTTACCCAGCCGGGAGCAAGGAAATCGATAAGGGTGGCAGATACATGCTGCAGAGCAGCATAACACAGTAATGGGGCACAAGACCCCCACCCTTATGGGGCTTGTTTTCTGAATGATGCAGCCCTGGCCCTTGGTTTGATTGTACCAGCCTCACTATTTCAATAGCTCAGAAGGCCTCTGATGGGTTTCAGTGGGGAGCAAAATCCTTTAGCTAGTGCAGATGACTCCCACTAGTGAAAGTACGGAGTAAAAATGCAGGAGGAGCCATAGTTCAGCCTACAAATGCAGCCCCCAGCCTGCCTGGACTACACATCCCAGCATGCAGTGTTCCACCTTGATTGAGGAGCCTGCTACATTGCATGCTGGGACATGCTACAGGCTGAGGACCAACTGGCTAAGCAGCAGTTCTGCAGAAAAGGACCTGGGGATTACAGTGGACGAGAACCTGGATATGAGTCAGCAGTGTGCCCTTGTTGCCAAGAAGGCTAACGGCATATTGGGCTGCATTAGTGGGGCATTGCCAGCAGATCAAGGGAAGTGATTATTCCCCTCTATTTGGTACTAGTGAGGTCACATCTGGAGTATTGCGTCCAGTTTTGGGTCCCCCACTACAGAAGGGATGTGGACAAATTGGAGAGAGTCCAGCGGAGAGCAACGAAAATGATGAGGGGGCTGGGGCACATGACTTAATGAGGAGAAGCTGAGGGAACTGGGCTTGTTTAATCTGCAGAAGAGAAGAGTGAGGGGGAATTTGATAGCAGCCTTCAACTACCTGAAGGGGGGTTCCAAAGGGGATGGAGATCAGCTGTTCTCAGTGGTCGCAGATGACAGAACAAGGAGCAATGGTCTCAAGCTGCAGTGGGGGAGGTTTAGGTTGGATATTAGGAAACACTATTTCACAAGGAGGGTGATGAAGCATTGGATTGGGTTACCTAGGGAGGTGGTGGAATCTCCATCCTTAAAGGTTTTTAAGGCCCAGCTTGACAAAGCCCTGGCTGGGATGATTTAGTTGGGCTTGATCCTGCTTTGAGCAGGAGGTTGGACTAGATGACCTCCTGAGGTCTCTTCCAACCCATATCTCTATGATTCTATGTAGTTTCCATGGGCCATGGCTCCATATGGAGGATGAAGTGCAGCTGGGGTCCCTTTCTCACATGATTCCCCACCCGCAGTGTGTTTGTCTGTTTGGGCTGGGGCTCCATGCTCACACTAGGGAACGGATCCAGCTTGCTGGAATCTCTGCCGGCCTCTTTCCCCTACTCACTGGCCAGGAGATAGATGTGAAGGGGACTTTATTTAACAAACATGGAAATGTTCCCTGGGCAGCTTTACTCCCATTGTCCTGCCATGCCAGTGGGTCTGAGTCCCTCTGGAACCAATGCTGCAGTGTGGCCCACTTTCCTGTTTTCCCCCAAAGCACCAGGTCTGTGCAGTAGCCGGGAGGGCAGAGCCCTGAGACCGCACCAAGCCACGTCCCTTGGCTTGCCTTGCTGACACAGCTTCCTTTGTGTTCTCTCTGCAGCTACCTGAATGACCTGGAGAGGATAGCTAGAGGGGATTACATTCCAACCCAGCAGGATGTGCTGAGGACCAGGGTGAAGACCACGGGCATTGTAGAGACTCACTTCACGTTTAAGGACCTGCATTTCAAGTAAGTGGGAGCTGCAAGACATGCCGGCCCCTTCGTTTCACCTCTCCTGATGTCACTTGGGCTTATCCCGTTCAGCCTTAGCTTTCCTTAGGGAGACGGGAACCTGTCCTGCCAGCAAAGCAATTCTCAGCGTGGCGCACCTGCAAATGCCTTGGTTTTTAAGAAGGAGATGCAGCTTCTGGGTCTGAGCATGCGGTGCCCTATCTTGATCCTTGTGGACTTGGGCCAATGTGGGCTGTTGCATGCTGGGACCTGCAGTCCTTACGGGAGTCAGGCCTGAGATGGAGTACAGCTTTAATTAGCTTCCTTGTGCCAAAGGTAGGGGCAGGCTGCCTGCAAGGATACGTCTACACTGCACACTAAGCCCGGGCTCCGACTTATGTTTGAGCCCAAGCCCCCCTTCCAGGCACACACAAATCAGTCTGACCCTGCTAGGAGGTGGGTCAGAGCCCAAGTCCTGTCATTTTGCAGTGTGGACGCGGCTCAAGCCACAGCCCTGAGTCAGAAGGGCCAGGTAGTGCAACGTGAATGTGTTAGCACAATGCAGTGTGGACACTCGAGCACGGGCTTGGAAACACTGAGTGCATAAGCCGGGTCCCTCAAACCCAGGTTTAGTGTGCTGTACCATAGGCGCTGACAGTTTGGACCGTGGTGTCTAAACGTGTCTGTAGCTGAATCCTTGCCCAGCCTAACATCCGGCCTGCTAGGAGCTAGGCTCAACTCGGCAACGCTGACTCTCACTGAGGAGTTCAGCTGGCCTGTGAGGACGTCTCCTCCATTCGTGTCCTGCTGCAGCTGGCAGCCAGGCTGGAAAGTGAGGAGACGCGTTGATCCCTCTCCCAGGGAGGGAGCTTGTAATGTTGCCGTAGCCACAGTGGTGCAGATAAGATCAGAACCAAGCCCTGTCCCCATCTCCAGCTCCTGCCGTGTAACCCGGGCACTTGTTGGATTAGCTAATCAATGCTCCTGCTGTGCTGGCGGGGGGGAGGCCAGGCTCAGCATGGGGATGTGGCTCAGGTGACCCCCGGCCAAACTAATGATTGGAATAAACAGCTACACTCCATTGACCTCATCAGAGCTGGGCCTGGGCTGCAACTGGTACCTGGCTTCTATCCTGGGCTCTGCCACTAGCCTACGAGGTGACCATAGCAGGTCACTTTACCCCTCCGTCCCTCAATTTCCCCATGTGTAAATTGGGAATAATACCTGGTGGGCGGGGTCAAGATTTAATTCCCTATTTAGAGTACTTTGAGATTCTCTGATTAACGGTGCTAGAGAAGGACAGTGTAGCTAGCCATGTGTTAGTGTCACTGGCGTGTAGAAGAATTAGCATAGTGGAAACACACTGAACTGTTCTGCCCTCCTAAATGTCTGTCTCCGTTTGCTCACCCTGGCGCATGGTGTCTTGCGGGCAAATGAGTAGAAATCTGTTTGGTCTCAGCCTAGGCCACGCATTGCAGAATCTTCCTAGAAGTTAGCACAGCTGTCTTTTCAGAGCTGGAATAGCCAGAGGGCTGCAGGTCAGGAGTGGGGAGCTTTGGCAGAGTTGTGGCGAGGGGATCCCAGATCTGGAATAGTGAGGGGGCTGCAGGTCAGGAGTGGGGAGCTTTGGCGGAGCGGGGCATTGGCAAAGGGGTGTGAGAGCTGCGGGCAGGAATGGGGGAGCGTGTCTATACAGTGCACTTACTCTCTTTACTTTCACAAGTACCAGACTGACCTGCAGGATACAAGTAGAAATAAGCATTGGCTTCCCACCTGTTGATACTGTATCATTCAGCTTTTAAATTTGTAGCTCCCCTAGCCCAATTTCTTCCCATTCCAAGAGGCTGCAGTGCGGCTAATCCCCCTAGCGCTATGTGAGCATTAACTGGGAGGGAGGGATGCAGCTGCCAGCATGACAGCAGGGCTGAGGGTGGCTACCTTAGCTCTTCACTAGTACTGTAACGAGACTAGAAGGTTTGGGGGCCAGATGGCAACGCCCTGACTCCTGTTTGAAGTGGCCCAGCTTTACTTCAACGTACCACAGAGGCACTCGCAGATCTCTGAAACCTGCAGGAAAACTAAACTTGCCACTGGAATAAAACTCTGTAATCAGTCAAGAAGCTCCGGAGATGGATCTGTTGCTTCAGCGGTTGCCCTGTCCCTGTGATCTCGCCAGGCTGCAGCCCAGCCTCCCACTCCCTGTGCATGATAAAATTGTGCTTTCCAAATGCCAGCCCCCAAATAGTACTGCACATGGAGTGGGAAGAGAACATGCTGAATGCACATGTCGGCACTAAGAATGTGACATATCAGACCTACTGGGTGCTGAGTGTAGCAGGTTTCCAGCTGATGCCTATGTACTCCTGGACCATGCTGCTACAGAACCAGCTCGCTGCCGTCTGGGCACGCTCAGCCTGACAGCACAATGCACCCAGGGAAGCCACCTTTGGCTGGGACTACTGTAGTTCGTCACATGAACGTAGCTGGAAAGGATCATGCACCCTCTTGGTTCACATCACGCCCAGACTAGGCCTGCCATTTGGTATCTAGCTGGGTTTATAGCTCCCCTCACCGTAGTATCTGAATGTCTCACGCTCTGTAAAGTGTTTCTCCTCCTAAGACACCTGTTGGATGGGGAAGTGCCACCCCTGGTTCCACTGAGGTAGAGAGTCCAAATGACTTGCCCGAGGTCACCCAGGCAGTCTGTGGCAGAGCAGAAGATGGAACCCATGTCTCTGGTGTCCCAGGGAGGTGCCCTAACCACTGGGCCATTCTTCCTGTCTATGACCATAGAAATTAGAGAATGGAAAGAGTAATAAAATCAACTGGTCCGTCCCTTTGGCACAGGTCCTAGTCCCTGTCCCCTCCCCCTCACTCCTGGGCTGCAACTGTAGTCAGACCATGGCTGTTAAAGATGGAGCGTGTTTATATTTTGTTGTTTCACCCAGGGACTTCAGCCCGCCAGCAGGGTTGTGGCTTTGTAATGCACTTTATTTAGCTAAGTGTGTCACATCTGAGCCCGTATGGTCGCTGCTGCTGGTGACACCTCTTAGCAAATTTTATTGGGGTGACTTTAAAAACTGATTAATGGGATGATCACTCTCAACAAATAGCAGAATCCTGAGCTTCCAGACATTGGGTTACTGTTCATCCAGGGGACGATGAAATCGAATCGAATGAGATTACACTAGCTTGAAAGGGTGAGAACCTGAATCAGCATAAACAAGTTTAGTGCCCCCCTTTGCTTCCCATCAGGAGATGGAAGCAGCAAAGTCCCTTTCATTGTAGCCACCTGCACCATGGTGGTTACTGGGGATTGAGCCTGGACTTTGATCCCCAGCAGCAGAAACTTATATGTGGTGATTGAACGGTGTGCGCTCCCCTTCCCTTTAGCTGGGAGTGTGATGCGAGCTCATATCTTCACAGGGACCAGTGAGGAGATGGAGGGTGAGCACCCCTGCTGAGCCAGTGGCATTACCAAAGTGTCGCTCTCAATAGGACGGAGTAGTCACCTCGGTGACTTAGGGCTGGTCCCTGCTGAAGAGTTACATCAGCACAGCTGCATCTCCTGTGTGTGAAAAATTCACACTTCGGAGAGAAACCGTGAAGCTGACCTAAGCCCCGGTGTAGACAGCGCTAGATCTACAGAAGAATGCTTCCGTCAACCTGGCTACTGCCTCTTGGGGAGGCAATGGGAGAACCCCTCCCATCAGTGTAGTGTCTAGACTGACGCTCTGCAGCGGTTAAAGTGTAGACGTAGTCTAAGTCCCTCTGACGCTCCTTCTGTCTGAAGTGCCAGCTTGTCTGTCTCTCAGAGAGCTAGTTACAAAGGTCTTGAGTCACTGATGGCAGCGATAGTGTACCCAGCGCTCCAATGGCCACAGGCATTTTGGGCATCTTCTCTGAGCAGAGTTTGACTATACCATGCTTAAAATGCCAGTGGCTTTCTGGTGCCCTATGCCACAGTGGGAGCAATGCAGGGAGACGGAGGTGTTGGGTGAGAGAGCTAGTGGAGTGGTGCCCATGTATTGCAGTCCTGTGGGATCCCAGCTCAGCTGTGGAAAAAGGAGCTTCAGCCTGCCTGGGAATCTGGTTCCTCCACTCTGAGTCACTTACCTATATACCCGTCTGTCTGGGAATGGATCTGGCCTTCAGGGTATTTAGTGGTGTGTGACATTGCGCTAGAGAAAAGCTCTGGAGTCTGTAGATTGGATTTTCAGTTGCCTTGTGCTTTTAGGGTCATCCTCCTCCAGAAAAGTCTGCCCAATAACTTTGTGGGTGATGTTCATGCACTTCAGCCACTTTCAGGCTTTCTTGCTTGCTCAGGAGTAGTTTAGACCCAAAAATGTAGGCCCTTCTTAAAATAATTGGGGTTTTGTAGAAAATGTCTTCAAGAATCTAAATGTCTGCTTCATTGTTTTTTAGATCCTCTGAGATCAATATGTCAGATTTAAGGAAGATGCAGATTGTTACAGAGACCAGACAAAATACAGAGATGTGGGGGGGAATTGCAAACTATCTGTTTGAGCTTGTCTATAGCTGTGACACTGAGTACCTGTCTCTCAGCTGAAGAGCTCTGTGTAACTCGGAAGCTTGTCTCTTTCACCAGCAAAATGTGGTTCAACTGAAGACATTACCTCATCCACCTTGTCATACTAATGAGAATTAGTCATCCAGCTTGAGTCATGGACCAGCCTTTGATGCACAGGTGGAGTTCCGAGGGGGGAGATGGTGTACAGCCAAGAAAGTAAACCAGATGTTCCGCCTCCAAAAAACAGCATGGGGCAGGTGAACTAAGGTTGCCCACTCTGAAGGAGCTCAATCCATGTGGCATGGTGGTGGCTTTGAGCTTTTATGGAGTTCAAGAACATTAAGTTAAAAAAAATACCTGGCTATAATTTCTTCCCAGCCTCCTCGCCCCCATGAAATGTAGAGAAACATGATGAACATACCAAAATACTTACTTTTGGCTAGGTAGAAAGAGCTGCTGGGGATTGTCAGGGCATGGCCCCAGTCCA